TCTTAGTCGGGAAGCTCTGCTGAAACCTGTTCAGCATCTTCCACTGCCAGAGGGTGGTGGCTGTGCAGGAGGTCCGTTGACCGTCCTACAAATATCAATGCAGACCAAAGCATTCTTCCTCTAACACGTGTGTAAGTGGATAAAGCTGCGGCAAGCACAGCTGTTGGCCACCCAGACTTGCTCATGCCTATTCAAACTACTGTCATCTGTTTGTTCAGGCTCAAGTGAACTAGTTCTGAATAGGTTTCATCTCGTTTTTCTTCTTTCCCTTCCTTTCTCCAGAATTAGAACGAATAGGCCAAAAGTGGACACAAGAGAATATGGGATTCACTGAGCCAACCAGACACGAGAAATGCAGCAGTCCAAATTCCTGCAGCGCTTGTACAGAATAAGGGACTGGTGCTAGGGCTCTAGACGCAAACTACGAATTGGCAACAGCTTGCCTCACGCTCAAAGCTGCATGCCTTTCCCATAATCCCACTCACCGGTATCCCTTCTAGGATCGCCGAAACAGAATGCAACTTCGCTTGATAGTTTTGCACAAATCTGACCTGTTACAGGCATTTAAGGAATTCTCTTCACGGGAAAATATTTACTTATCCTGAACCTTTATGGCCTTTTCTAAGATCCTACCCTAGCACATCTGGAAACAAGTGAGCAGTCTCTTAAGCCAGTTCAGAATCATTTCTCTTGGGTGCTAAAGGGATGTCCAAAAACCACAGCAACACACAAGCCTCCAGTGAGTGGTGGGGGCTGAAGCACCTTTGACTTCATGATTGTTTTCCTGTTCGCAGAGCAACAGGAGCTGGGGGCTGGGGAACTGTAAAGGCCCCTGGCCTGGCACAGCCCTGCTGTGGATGAGGGTGGGGTCATGAAGGTTGAAGAGTCTTGAGCCAGGTCAAAAGATCAGCAGAAACATATTTCCACAGGGTACATTATAGTATGCTCTCACCCATCTCCTCTGTCAGACACTTTGCATTAATTAACTCATACATACCTTAAAAATAAACTTGTGGATTAGGGTGCTGCTGAGACAGTAAAACAGAACTTGGCCTGCTTTGGGCAGATGAAGCAGAGATGCGGGGCCTTACAAATCTCAATTTATTCAAGTTTCAAAATTACAATTTTTTCATGAGATCAAGGAAATTTTTTGTGTCTGATATGGATACTTTGATTCAAGGGTGTGGTAGTTACATAACTTCATGTGAACTTGAAGATATAAAAAAGTGTAGGGTGGTATTGAGCCCATCAATGAGGTCCACTGTCTTTCGCTGCCTCCTTGTGGGCGTGGCCTTCTCATGAGGAGGCCCTTGGAACCTCCCCTTCTCTCTTTGCTTACATATTCCCGCCAACTGATCCTGGTTGCTGCCAAAGCACTGGAGACATTCCTACCGCTATTGGATCCATAAGACTTTGCACCCACCAGCCAGTGATTTCCTGCATTCTGCATCATTGCATGTGGCTGCATGAGTCTGAAGAAGGATTTATGGACTAGTATCGGATGTATGGGCTTGAGTTGGACTGGGCTGGGATGTTTTCTTAATACATAATTCCTCCTTGATATAAAGCTCTTTCTTACACATATGAGTGTCACTAGATTTGTTTCACTAGTCAACGGGGCCTAACACAAAGGGTCACCTTCTCCAAGAAGACCCATTCAGTGCTTCAAAGAATCAATTCAGAATCACCTGGTGCAGCAGTGAAATTTTGCTATGTTGCTCATTATTAGAATTTAACTCCAGAGATTGTTCTTATAAACTCAAAAACATGGAGATCAGGAGTTTGGTAGGTTACTGGATACTGAAGACCCACGGGGGAGGGGGAGGAAGCAGAATCATGCACCTAGCAATGTTGAAGCGCCAAATACAACATTTCCAATTTAACATTTTAATTCAAGCATATATAAACAGTAGAAGCAAATAGATGCACTAAATTGCGTTTGCAACAACATAAAACAAAATGGCAGAGCAAGATTATGGAGGCAGTTTTTATTATTTTGGTAATAATGCCCTATCATAATTACAGATATAAATTCTCCTAAGACAGAATATGGAGCAGTAAAAACCAAATATTATTGCTGCATCCCCTGAATCTACAAGTGTGTACTATTCTTGCTCTGTGCCTATAAAAAGCATTTCACGAGGCTACAAAATTAGGAAAAGGTTAAAACAACAAGTCTTCCTTGAGTTCTAGTAATCAACTACTAGAGGTTCCTTCTTATTCACATGACGGTGTCCAGCTAACATACAAAATGAAGGCATTTGCTATGCAACTCTCTGATCTGTTAAAAATGACACATGTAAATTCTAAGGCTGTCATAACATTTCACAGGTAGAGGCTAAGTTCTGGAACATGAAAGCTTTCGGATCACCCACAAAACAGACCTGAGACATCTTCTGTTTGCGGGGAGCGAACTGTTTTCTTCTAGAAACCCAAGTAGCTTTTTATGTACAAACCAGACATGCATTTCACCAGCAGCTGCAGTTGAACGGCTGCAGCCACAGCTCTCCTGGCGTTAGTGATGCTTGGCCCTCTGGCAGGAGTCAAATCAGGTTTTCTGGTAAAGCCAGTCGTTTGCTTACTGTAACCAACAAGCTTCGCTTTTTATTGACTTGGGTTTCTTTCCTTTAACTAGGCTATAAACAGATGACATATCAATCAGGTGAACTTCCTCAACATTTGTCTGCTTTCTTCACTACAAGGCGGCTTCCCAAGGTTTGTGGGATAGTTCCATTATCTTTGAATTCCATTGTTCCACGAACCTGTTGAAGCCTATTGATAGAAGCAGAGCTTTCTCACCCCACCCCCACCCCCAGATGATGGCTATAGCCTAAGAGGTTCTGGCACAACCGGGGCCAGGCCGGTTTAAGGAACCATCCAGACAGGTACCAGATTATTTTTTTGCTGCCACTGCCTCTAAACCGGAGTAAACAGACTAAGGCAGCCCAAACCCAGTGTCTCATCGTGTCAGACCCAGCTAACATTTTGGCCTGACTAGTGCCCCCAGAACGACAAGGCATTGGGCAAGCCCGATTTCCATTACTCACTTAAATGCCCTCATAAAAATACTGACATGCTTTTTCATATTCAAGAAACACAGCCATGAAAGTGCTAATCCAAAATTGAATGTGATTCCTGTTTCTAGAAAATTCCAAATCACAAAGTAGCTCAACTGTGCCTTTTGTGTTCTGTGCTGTGAGTCGACTGGGACTCCCGGAGAGCTCAGAGTAGAACTGCTTCTTAGGGTTTTCTTGGCTGGAACCTTTAAAGCAGCAAGCAGACTGTCCCACAACTCTTCTCATGGTGTCACTGGGTGGCTTCAAAGTGCCAGCTTTTGGACTGCGAGCCAACTCAGACCATTTGCCCCACCGCAGGGCCGATGTCTTACAAGCAGTCCACGGGTTAGCTTCACCCCGCTAATGGACCACCCAAGGTAAAGCCCTTCATATTAAAAATCCGAGGTACACACGATGGTTCACAATAACTAATGCTCGCTTTGTCATGAATATTAAAGCCTTATTATTACTGCATTAATATGTTAAAGATGTTTTAGTGTATCTGGAAACACTCATGCTTTCTTATACACAGAAAAGTACACTATATATGAATATTAAGACAAGCATTTGACTAACTGACGTACCTCACTGTTCTACTTAAAGACAGCTTTAGGCACAGGACTCCTTCATCATTTGGGGACTGTGTACAGTTACCCAAAAAAGGTCTATTTGTGAGTTGACGTTTTCACACCAAATTTTGCTTTGAATTTTGGGTTTCCAATGAAGTAATTTGGAGCAGATGGGGAAATGTTTAATAATTTTCCTTCTCATCTATTTTTCCTCCGACTACCCTAAACTAACCATCATACAATCTACCCTTTGTAAGTCTGATAAAACAAAGATACCAAAAACACTGAATAAAAACGTACAAAGCCCTATGCCTTTGGGACACTGTAGAACTTCCTTTTTGAAGTTCATACCCAATGCATGTTAACCCAGCCCACATTCCCTTTGTATTTTTTGAAATCTTCCATCGCTTTTCGAACAACTTTTTAGGATATGACATCAACTGGACATACACATTTCATTCAAGGTTTAGGTTTGCACGGCCACCCAAGGGTTTGCTCACTGGATTGGCCATGCTAAAGAGCACAACTAATTGGATCAGATACACTGCAATGAAACAAAACAGCTGGTAAGACAATATTCAGACTTTGAAAAAAGTAGGCATTCACTGCCTTTAAAACAATTAATCTAAGAGAGAGATGAAACAAAACAGAACTGTCTGTTTTCCGTTTCTAAGTCAGTTATAATAACACTTCTTCCTCCTGGTTACTTACAGCCTCTAAAACTCTCTGGCTCAGTTCTCCTCTGCCCTGTAGGCGGGCTACGAGTGGAAATCCACTTGAGAGCAGTTGGCTTGACAACCTAGTAAAGGCCATTTAATAAGGTTAACCTAATAAACGCAGTTTGTTGTATTTTCCACTATGAATCAGAGAGAAAAGGGCCAAATTTCTTTGGTTCCCCAGCAAATGACCAGCACTCCACTTACTTCGACTCAATGCTCTATAATTAGGTGGTTTTAGAACTAAGGTAAAATGTACACATGCTAAGAGTTTGGCATTTTGACATAACCAGATCTATTTGTGATGTCTCAAAAGGAAATTCTCTATTATGAACATAACTTTTATGGTATGGAATGAATTTAATTTGAGATTTGTCTACTCTCATCCAAGTTTGGGTTGAGAAGAGAGACTTCTCTAGCTTGGTTTTGTGATATATAATGAAACATCAGTTATATTTAATTTAATAAGGCTCATTTCATGTATTTAAGCAAAATTGGGTGAATTTGTTGTAACTTTTGATCTGCAATGAAATTTTTAGAAACATACTATATGAATTAACCTTTCCTAACAAAATAATACTAACATTTATGAATACGTATGTGATTATCACTGTATATATTTAATACTATTTGATGATTTTTTCATTTATACCTGGGAGACTAACTGTAATCAGTGTAGCAAAATCACAGAATTTAAAGTTTTGTTAGGTAGGTGATTTTTCCTCCTATTTGGAATATTACAATTTTGGCAATGGAGAAAGGGCTTCAGTATAAAATTTGATACTTTAATACTCACAAAAATCACTGAAACCCATTGTAGTCACGCCAATGATTAATTTTTTTTTTGAGCAATCAATTTTATGACTTATTCTACAAAGTACATCAGTAGGCAGAAAGGTCAACCTATCCATAAGCACTACAACCTCTCTTAGTTTTCTCCTACGAAAGATGGAGATGGAATAGCTGATGTTTACCATTTTCCCAGTTGCCCTCAATCACATATCGTGCACAGAAATTATTTACCTTTGCATAATCACCAATCTATTCTGATCTGTTTATAATATAATTTTCTATGGAGCATATTTCATTTCATGGATGATAAATCTCAGATCTTCCTCAAGAAGATTAGGTTAATGAAATATCTTTGTGTGTGTGTGTAACTCCAATTAATGGTCTCGCAAGAAATTATAATGATCAGGATCCAGTATATATAATTCCTTGAGTCCTTTTAATTGCTTGACACACAAAAATCTTCCAGGAGCTTCTACACTGCTCAGTGCTCATAAGGAGCCACTCCACTCCAGCTGCTCACTCCTCGGGTGGCGCACACCCCTCTGCAGGTCAGTTGGGTTATGCACACCTCAGAGGGGAGATACAGAGAAGCTGGGGAGGAAAAAGAGAACGGTACTCTCATTCCCTAAGGCTTGTGCTCTTCTACGATTTTAGCTAGCCTCTGGCTTCTTACAAGCGATCTTCCTCGGCTTGTAACTTTTGGACAGCATGGTCAAGGAGCTCCATGGATTCCCTGAGAGTAACGTTGATCTTAAATGACTTGGGTTTAAGGGCCAGGCCATAAGTGAAGTCCACCTTGGAGGACTCCTCTGGGTTGGCCTTGAAATTGCACTGGTGAGCTAGGATGGAGATGAAAAGAAACATCTGCACCTTAGAGAGCTCTTCCCCAAGGCACCGCCGTTTGCCCAAGGAAAAAAGCATCACGTTGCTGGCCAGGTTCTTGTCCATACGGCCGTCCTGGTCTAAGAATCGGGCTGGGTTGAAGTCTTCCGGGTTAGGCCATTTCACTGGGTCATGATTCACTGACCACTGGTTGACAAAAACCACAGTGTCCTTGGGAATGTGGTAGCCCAAGACAGAGGCATCGGTGGTGGTGGCGTGAGGGATGGTGACAGGCACGAAGCTGGAGAAGCGCATGGCTTCGTACATAAAGGCCATAATGTAGGGCAGGTTAGGCTGATCATCCATGCAGGGGAGGCGATCTCGACCCACCACTTGGTCCAGTTCTGCCTGCACTCGAGCCTGCACTTCAGGGTACCTGTTCAGTTGTTAAAAGAGGGAATGAAGAAGCAAGAGAAATTAACCCTTCATCCAGAAAAGCACATCACAAGTTATCTTAATTCCAGCTTCTTTATCTGAGCCAGTGAACGGATGAACATTTCCAGGTGACTGTTCTCGCCTGTAAACAAAGAGCATTCTTATATTGATAAATAAAGGGCTGAGTGTTTTGTAAATTTAAATTCATGTTGCCGGAAGGATAATAATCATAGGCAAATGATCATTGTGTACATTTTCACAATAAAAAGGACAAAAAGCAAATTCTTGTGTTGGTGAGATTGAGAGACAAATTTTAAGACTTATTCATGCTTGCCTAACTAAACTGGTAAAATCCTTTTGAGAAACAAGATCTCATTACAAGAGACAACCCACCCAGTCCCCTTTTAAGCACAATAACTCGTGACTACAGCACTTTCGAGAACTGATTTAACAGGTTTCAGGAAATCATCAAAATGTCAGATACACTTATTATTGCAGACCTGATCAATCATCAAGATGTGGGTTTTGGTTTGGACTACGGTAAGACATGTGCTGCCAAAAATTACTTAATGCGTGTGAAAATGTGGGGAATGATCCACAACAGTAAAGGAAGTTTGAAAAAAGTACCTAACTACTACAACTTGGGGGGTGGGGGGTGGGGAATGAACGTAGGTGGTGGAACAAAGGGCCATGTGGTAAATAGTTTAGGCTTTGGGGACAGCTCTGTGGCAACCAACTAACTCCGCCTGTGCTGTGGCATGTAAGCAGTCAGACAACGCAAAAACAAATTGCCTTTCAATAAAAGGTAAGCAAAACAAGTGGTGTAATTTGCAGAGCTGTCCCAAGATCTTTTCCTAAAAGGAAGAAGGATGGAGTCACTGACCGCAAGGTAGGCTTTTTAAACCCACCAGCGGTTCCCGGGGAGAAAAATGAAACGGGTCAATTTCAGATTCGGAGCTTCAGAAATTCTGTGGAGCAAATCCACTCAGTCAGAAATGACTCCACGGAGGCAATGGGTTTGGTTCGATTGATTTTAATGCGGACCACAAACTCGTGTCTTTTCTTTCTTTTTTTCAGTGTCTACTATTAGTGTTACCTGATGTTGGACCCCTGACCCTTCCATGTTTCTCTGTGATCTTAATGCTGCAATGTGGTTTGAAGTACAGCATACTAAAAGTATAAAAGGTGTGAAAGTAGAGTCCCTAGCAGAACATAGGTGGCTAGAAAAAATGCCCATGCCTTCCCAATACTTCTGACAGTGGATTTGATTTAGCACCCTAAACCCCATTCCCAGTTTCCTGAAGGAGCCTAAGTGGCAGTGCCTTAAGCACGGGGTGGTTAACTGAACGGTGGGAGGGCAGAAATCAGCAGCCGGGGGGAACGCTGTGGCAGTGGACTTCTAAAAAGAGCAGAGTCTCAGAATTCCTATGGGTCAGTTCTACTTCATCCTTAAGGGTCGCTAGGCGTTGGAAGAGTGGCACACGGTGATTCAATTAACAACTACTCCCTAGAAGGCTAAGGAAGGGGGCCTCTCTCCCCCGCAAAGCAATCAAGATGTACATCTGGTCCTTGAGGTAGAGTTGCCAGATCATAGATAGGGTGCTTCATACAATTTGAATTTCAGATAAACAATTCTCTTCTTTCAGTATGAGCATGTCCCGAAAAAAACGGTGGCTTTTTTCCCCCCTGTGCTAAATCTGACCACCCTACCGCGGAGTCCAGTTTAATTCGTGTGTGCAGGGAGCATCGGACAGATGGGTGCTCTTCAAGAACGAGAGTGCTTCGGCCCAGCGCGCTATGCAGAAGGCTAGGGACGGCGCGGTCTGCAGGCTTCTCCTGTCGCCCCCATTTGTCTTTCTAGAAGCTCGGCCCTGGGTCAGTGAGCCTACCTCGACGCCGCCTGTCCAGGGCCGCCTGCTGCTTGCTGGCCACGGTCCCAGGGTTTCCGTGCCCGCTGACCGTTCGCGGGCCGGGCCCGGCCTCAGAGCACGGCCTTTCCTCCTGGCCGGCGGCGCGCGCTCGGAGCCAAAGCGGCGCGGCATCGGCTTAGGCATTGGCTTAGGCTGAGGCTCTTTAAAAATGTATTCACCACGTTACCATCTCAGTTGGCTTTGCCCGAGCCGGAAGGGAGGAGGGAGGGCAGAGCTGCCCGGCGCTTTGTTAAGTCTTATTTTTCTAAGGGGGTTCCTCCTAAATTTGTCCCCACTCTTTAACCTGGGTAAGGTTGGAAAGCGGGAGACCAAAGCAGAGATGCCAGGAGGGCGTGCGCGCGCGCGCGTCTCGGCCGGCACCAAGCTTTCCCAGGCTCCGATTTTGGGGCGAGGTCTCAGTTTCGAGGGGTGGGGACCTTGAGCGAAATGCCAAACCTCGAGCTCCGGTGGCGACCTCAGCCAATTCCGGTCTCATGGGCCCTTAACAGAAAGAAGAAACGGCCGGCAGGTGCGCCGCTCGCCGCCCCGGGAAGCGTTCGTTACCTGGTGAAGAGGATGAGCAGCCACTGCAGCGCGGTGGAGAGGGTGTCCTGGCTGGCGCCGAAGATGTCCGTGATGACGGCCGGCACGTCTTCCAAGTCCAGGCGCGCGCCGCCGTCCTCGGAGTCCTTGGTCGCCTCCTTCCCTGCCAAAAGGATGAACGCGTCCATCATGTCCCGGGGGCCAGTGCCCGGCCGAAGGGTTTCTTGGTGCTGCAGGAACTTATCGAGGATGAAATGGAGGAAGTTGCGGTTGAGCTGCTCGAACTGGCGGAAAGCAGTGCGCACGGGGTTGGGGAAGCGCTGCAGCCAGGGCAGCACGTCCACCAGGCTGCCCGCCCCCACCGTGCGCCCGAACTCCTCGTTCTGGCTGAGCAGCCCCTGGAACTCGGCGTCGTCGTGGCTGTAGCGGCAGCCGAAGCACACGGCGCTCATGACATTGGCCACGGTCACCAAGGTCAGGGGCCTCGGGTCGATGAAGCCGCCGCCCGCGCAGCCGCGGACCATCAGCGCCACCAGCTCGCGCACCTCGGCGAGCAGGTGGCCCTGGAGGATCCG